TTTAGATTAGGTATAGGTTTAGACACGTGGATGTTATTAACGTTGCGTGCGTTACATTTCACGCATGTAACACGTATATTTTCACTCTGCTTTTTAAAAGTCTTTCTTTCTGCTTCTCTTATTTTCCTCCATCGGCCATTTAGGACAAGTTAGGATCTCGATTCTCGGATTTTATTAATTCTCATTAATAAGTAGTCACAAGAGTGAGGACAGCGTACGGTATAGTTTTCTGAAATACCGCATATTTGTCGTCTATATTAGCACGGCTCCTTTCAACTTCCTTCTGTGGAAAATTCAACGGCAGATCTCGACGAAAGTCCTGTACTTTAAAAGGACGTTGTCGAATAGAACTCGAGCAGGGGTGTAATAGAACTCGCAGAGAAATACAAAGGTCGTGATTGAACGAATTTTTCGGCTCGATGTAAATAAAATCAGGGACGAACGTGCGTGGAAACGAAAGAGATACGCGCGTATCACCTTGGTATTTCTCTTACTCCAGGAGAAATTTGGGGGGAGGAAAAATTTTTCCAACCTACAACAAACGCTACAAACAGTCAAAAGAAACTTGATGAGAAAGGGTTGTTTGGAAAGGGGAAATCGAAACAGAAGTATAATAGTAACAACAGCAGCAATAACAACAACAACAACAACAACAACAACAACAATAAGAGAAGCCTTAAAGAATATTGGCATCTAATGTAGCATCTAAGAGGTAGGAGAAGAGGCGATAAAGGAGAGAGAAAGTGAGAGATGCCTATAGCCCTGGCATGAACGTCAGGTTCTTACGTCCGTCAAAATACACTCCTCGCCGTCGTCGACGTTTGGAATGGTGGTCTTGCCTTGAGAGACGAAGTAGTAGTCGTGGACGTCGTTCGAGAGGCAGCACATTTCTACATAGAACGAGGATCAAACAAGTAAGAAAGTCTGACAGAATGGGGAAAGTAGATCCAGGACAGTCGGTGTGTGTACCGCTGGTTGCACGTTTGCAATATCAAGATTCGATATCACGATAACACCTTCGATCACCGATCAGTTATACACAGGTAGCACTGTTTCTCCTGCAACCTGACGCTTTTTCTAATCTCGCAGTTTAAATTAAAACTAGACATCTTACGACTCTTGTCCGAAGGCAAAGACAGAGGAGAACAGGGAACACTCTGAAAGGATTTCTTTACCTGTGAACGATATCGAAAAACAAAAAAAAAAGTAGCGATATCGCCAATATAAATTTCGTAGTTTGGTCGAGTGTTTCCAAGGTGCGAGGACCATCGTCGCACACACACACACACACTGAACGAAAACGTACCTGCGTGTCAAGAAAAAAAATCGACAAACCGATCGTCTCTCTCGTCCTAGAATACGATCTCACACGATTCACCAAGTGAATTCGCTGCACTTAAAAAGGTCCTAGCTATCTGCTATCATCTCGATAGAACAATGTAATTTGTTTTTGTATTATATATAATTTGTCGAGTAATCGTGCACTGAATAACCTTACCCTTCAAGCCAGCGACCGAGCCTGACATCATTTGATAAAAGATGTGGTAAGAACGTTCCAGAGTCTGTTGAGAAATGACACGAGCCTTCTCCAGTAGATCTGTATGCGAATAAATTAATAAAGATTTATTTAGCGGATTTGTTTCCGTGTTTTCCGCAAGATTGTTGAAATTTTCGTTGAAACGTTTCGAAGCGTTCGTAATTGCGTTTGTCGTTCCGAAATAACGCAATCGCGACGCAATCATTTGCCACGACACGTAAGTATGATGCAAACTACATCTAATCATAAGATGAAACGAAACGTACGTGCGACGAATATATTGTTATTTTTAAAAAAAGCCGGCAGCGAATCGAAGCCAACTTTCTTCTCGAAAGATCTATTTAGATACGTGCGTACAATCGATGGATAGATATATAGTGATAGATAGCGATAGAGATGGGAAATTTCAAATGGAAACTTACAGGTCTCGATATCGGCACCAGCCAGTTTTCCAGACGGTCCGAAGTGAATACGGATGAATTTACCCTAATCGACGATAGAGGAAAGAAATTACAGTTACAAGTTGCTCGTTGCGAAGAGAAAAGATTAAGGAAGATAAGAGCCAGTACTTACGAAACGCGACGAGTTGTCGTTACGGACGGTCTTTGCATTACCGAACGCTTCCAAAACAGGGTTGGTTTGGACGACCTGATCTTCCAGGGAGCCTTTCTTTTGACTCGCTGCATCTTCGCTCTTCTTGGTCGAGGCACCGACGGTGGCGAAGTACGCGATTACTTTCTTCGTGTTTTCAGTTTTCCCGGCACCAGATTCACCGGTAATCAACATGGACTGATTTTCACTGTCTGTGGAAAAGAAGAAGAAGAAGAAGAAGAAGGATAAGAATTTGCTTTGATATGAAAAATAGCGCAACATTTCTAGCATATGACACGCTAGTGTTATACTTACTAGTGAGCATATTGACGTATGCACCGTCAGAGATGGCGAAAATATGCGGTGGCACTTCGCTACGTCTTTTGCCTCGATAAAGTTTCGCGCATCTAAACGTGTATACGGGGAATCGTCTGTAGGGGTTGATGGCTACGCAGAAGAGGCCGGAGTAGGTCTGAAAATGATAACGAGGCGCATCATCGCAATGAAACTTGTTACGCGGTGAAATACAATAAAAGGTACAAAGATGTATCTGTGACGATTTCTTTGACCGTTTTCACGATTCTTGAATCGACTCGTTCTATTCGGCTGCGCCGAATGTCCAATTCTTCACATTTACATCAATGTACATGTACACGTGTGTAATTTACAATCAAAGACTATACACTACGCTTTTTAACGAATAAACATCACACTCTGACTAGTTTTATACTAGTTTTTTTGTTTCAAAGTTTATGACGTTCGACAACACTATTTTGGAGCAGCCAAATAGTGTTATGCTCTGGGTTAATGAAACAAGAAAAAAAAAAGATAAAAAAGTTACACGTTTAGGATGGAAACGTGGTTTTTCGTAAGTAACTCGTGTCTTGAGACGAGAACTTGTTCGTAGTCGGCCAAATTAAATTCGATCGACATGACGCTCGTGGTCAACAGTTTCCCTTGGAAACGTGGAGGCAGGCAGAGGGAAGCAACAACGACACGCCGCTACACGTACAGGTGTTTTGTCAGACGACGATGTTGCGTACGATGATAATCATGCATCTGAGAGAAGAATACTTGGAGATTCGTAGCCTGATGAACAACCAAACGAATTGGAAAACACTCGAAATACGATCGAGTGTGAAATGATGAGGATAAGATGGTGGTGGCGATGGAGAAGAGAAAGAAGAAAAACGCGAAGGAAAACGTGGTGGCACGTTCAGGTGCTTTTATCCAACGTTTTCGACATTGCAACAAATGCAATTTTCCACTTGTGGAAAACAAAGGAAGAAACAAAAGAAAAGAAAAAAGAAAAAAAAAGGAAAAAAAGAAAGAAAAGAGAAACACGAAGAAGAAAGTCAGAAACGTTCGCGACTGGATAGCAGGAAGGTTGCAATCTCTCCGAGGGTGAAATAATCTTACGTAGATGAGTTTGGCGTAATAACGTTGTTTCAAATTGTGAAGGACCGAAGCATCGTTGAGATAAGTTAAATTTGACATATCCTCGCATTTTTCGTATTTCGGTGGATTCACTTGCTGCAGTTGGTCCTTCTTGAAGTCCTTCGTCTAGTTTTATGAGGGGAAGAAAGATACGGCTCGATTAGTGAAAGTAGAAAGAAAGTTGAACTTACGTAAATTAAATTGTTGTAGTAACGTTGTTTCAAGTTGTGCAACACGGACGCCTCGTTCAGGAATGTTAAATCAGCCATATCCTCGGTTTTCTCATATTTCGGCGGATTTACTTGAGCCAATTGGTCCTTGCGGAACTGTTTCGTCTGCACGGGCATTCCTTTTTTATATACACATTTCATTCTATTCTGCCTTATCGTAGAAATTTAACCTCACTCTATCATCCTGTTACCTTTTTCACGTCGGAAATATTTCAAGTCGCCAGTTTTCTTCGAAATCGATCAACCGTAACGGAATGACGATACTTGAGCTTTAATTAATTTCAATCAAATTCTAATTTCTAACAAATCATTGACTAATTAAATTAAACGACAAGTATAAGAATAGAAAAAGAAACCGCGAATAAAATACAATATTACCGAAGGGTCATTATTTTTTCGAGAACGAGGCAGCAGGACCGATAAATATCAAAGTAGTGTCACGTCTATACGATGTAACCGAATTATTTCCTCTGAAGTTTTCCAATCATCGGCACCGGGCGAAATGATTTTAAACGAAAGTGTATTCTTAGCGTTCTCCTTTCTTTTTTAGTTTCACGCGTAATAAGAAGAGTCGAACGTGCGAGTGAATGGTTCCCTACATCCTTTGGTTCTACCTCATCCCTCTCCCTCTTTCGCTTCCGATGCTCTAAATTTACATGATATGTCGAGCCGAGTTACATGAGTTTCGTCAAGTGACGTTTCAATTTATTATTACCAATGGTAGCGATGATGCTAACAATAGCATTTCAGCGTCGGTTAACGAAGAGAAGAGAAGGTAGGGTTTGCTGAACCATTATGTAACCCAACATGTTAGAACCGTGGCATTTCGCGCATCGCTATGTGTCCCGAGCCGAACAAAAATAACCGCTGCCAGCGAAATCACGGAGAATACGACGAAAAAACCGGCGAGAGATACAAATATAGATGTATATGCCCACACACATGTCTAATCGCACGTAGATAGACATACATACATACTGGGTTCTGCCCAGTCATAGATGCATATTACACCGATAATTTGCCATTTGTCGTCTGTTAGTTTTTGGGAAAAATCGAAAAAAAAAAGAAAAAGAAAAGAAAAAATGATTCTAATGGAAAAATATATATCTGTCTCGTAAAGTCCTGAAGAATAAAATAAAACGACGGATTTAAGTTTTAATCATTCGGTCTTGCAAACTCGCGACTTGACGCGGCGCGAGAGGAGGAGCGAGCCAGTATTTAATATCGGGACGTTAGGCGCGATGGCGAACGCCAACGGTTTTTACCTTTGCCAAAAATAACGTTTCAACGGAGTCTGATACGATGAACCTCTGCTATTTTGTTTTCTTTTCGCGTACGTAGGAAGCCACCGTTGGCTTCTTCCCAGCCAAACTGCTCTACCGCTCTATCCAATTTAGGCGACTGCGACGCGACAGAGACATAGATAAGAAAATTTATTACTCTGTACTTCTTAATTCCCGAATGAGGATACGACTGCCTAAATATATGCGTGTGTGTGTGTGTGTGTGTGTGTGTGTGTGTGTGTGTGTGTACTGTGCGTAGCTAGTAAAATAGTATTGACATCAAGTGAAGAAACGAAGGATGATGATGATGAGGATGCTGATGACGTACCTCGCCGCCAGGTAACGTGACGGAAACAACATCACCCTTGGTTGCCTTGATTTCACCAAGAAGGTAACCGTCCTTCTCGTCCGGCACCCAGCACGCCTTCTTCGCGTCGTACGGTTTCGTCTGGTCGATTCTCTTCTGCTCAAGGGAGACGAAAAGGTACGGGGTTGGATCCTCGTCCTCCTGTGATTTCTTCGGCGGCGGCATCTTGGATTATATCCTTTCTACTCGAATGATTGGATGATTTGTTCGTCTACTTGTCTCCTCCTCCTCCTCCTCCACCTCCTCCTCTGGCTCCCGGGAAGGTCTTCTACGTGCCTTCTACGTCGTCGTTTTCCCACGTGTCGATACGATGGGAAGTAACTTGCTAGTTTAATTTCGTTTCTTCGCTCTTATTCTCGTTCCTCGGAGAATTCGGCGGCGGACGGACTACTTCTGGCGGCACGATCTGGGCGGCCCTGTTTCACAAACAATCAGCCCTGTTAGTTATTATTAGCTCACGTCCACGCGAAACCTCTTCATCTTTCTATTTTATTAGCCAATGTGTACGACGTGCAACACGTCGCATGCAGTATATCACTCTGAGCCCTTATCGTTCCCTACTCCCTGTTCCTTCTTGTTCTATCTTTTTCCAGCTTGGAAAATTTCCAAAGCTGTTATTTCCTGAAATCTGCCGATAGTAGATGTATTCACAACATTATTACAGTAGAACTGAAATATTGGAAACTCAATAATATTTCGACTTATATACTCTGTCTTTTACGGCGTGATCAACTAATTAACAAGTAAACTGTTTTACTTTTTATTTCAATCGAATGTATCGTCGTCTCGTCTTTGTCGTTATTGTTTCGAAATTACTATGAAATTTATTATTGGTATAAATAATACGTGTCGTCGAGTAATATCCGTTAATGTTGCTAAGTATTCGCATCGAGATTGCTTCAACAACTAAAAAGCAATTATAAAACGTGTTGTGTAACGATACGAGTCGACGGCCAACAGGAAGTCACGCAATAACGTAACATTGTATAATAGAAAAGAAAAAGAGAAATAAATAAATAAATAAATAAATAAAGAAAGAAAGAAAGAAAGAAAGAAAGGGGAAATTGTACAGTTTTTTCATTTTTTTGCATTCGTAATAATTTCCTTCCCTTTATTTGGGAAATGAATACGTGAAGAAGAAGAAAAGTGAGAAAAGACCGCACGTAGAACTAAAAGAGGAATAAATTACGTAATGGAGTGCGGCTAGTAAGTAAGAGATAACTCGAAGGAGTCGTTTCCGGTCTTGTGCGAAGAAAAATCACTCGAGAGTAATTTGGTAGCCGAGTTAAAATAGGACAAAGCTATCGAAGAAGTTGAAACGAGACACCGTGTTTCGAATCCATCCAAAAAAAGCAACCAGTGCTTCTGGAGCTGCGTGTAACGGAAATAAAAATGGCGCGCGCACTGCACCGTTGCCATTTCTGAATTCCCTTTTCAATTGTGCATCACGTGGTTCAAATTTCACGCACTTTGGAAAACTGGCTACCGACTACTTTCAGACGTCCCGATTTGATACGTCATCCAGGAAACGGATATATATATATATATATATATATATATATATATATAAAT